GACACACACACACACACACACACACACACACACACACACACACACACACACACACACACACACACACACACACACACACACACACACACACACACACACACTAATAATACCCTGAAAGCGAGCTTGGCCGCCTGGTCGTCCTCGTCTCCTCTGAACCACGGCCTCACGGGGCCCGGACCCTCTAAACCTTCAGCGAACAGATCAATGAAGAAGAAGACAAAGTCCTCCAGCTCCGCCCCGTCCTTCAGGAACTGAACCAGAAGAGAGCGCAGGATGTCCCAGGAGCAGCACACAAAAACCACTGAAGAAGAAACAGATCAATGAAGAAAAAGACGTACACCACTAAAGAAGAAACACAAACACCACTGAAGAAGAAACACAAACACCACTGAAGAAGAACAGATCAATGAAGAAGAAACACAAACACCTCTGAAGAAGAGACACAAACACCACTGAAGAAGAACAGAAACACTATGCTCGTAAAAACTCAAAATAAAATAGATGAAGTTGCACCTCATCTTATTGTGTGATTAAATATACCTTGTTGTTGTATTTATAAAAACATGCTTTGTTCGGGTAAGGGGTTACACACACACACACACACACACACACACACACACACACACACACACACACACACAGATTTGTTGCAAAGTTCAGAACAGGAAGTGTAGGATAGCAGAACAGGAAGTAGTACCTCTGCCATGGTCCCTGATCTCCCTGACGCTGGCCCGGATGTTTAGGTGTTCTAGTTCTATAACATGTTCCTTCACAGTGAGGTTCTGCTGGCCCAGCCTCAGGTACAGCCCCTCGGCAGCGAAGTAGCACGGCCGGTCGTTGTTGGCGTCCTTGTTGTCGGTGTACACCAACATGGCATGATGCCTCCAGCTGAACGCCTCCATCAGAACCTCCCCCATCTCGCCCAGCTTCTGATGGGTCGGCCCGGTGTTGGTGACGGAGCCGTACACCGAGAAGCCCGTTGCCCGTGCTCCGGCCGTCACCATGGGAACGCCCCAGTGCGTAGTGAAGCGCGCCACCGGAGAGGAGGAGTAGTCACAGCCGGGACCGATGAAAGCCCACGGGTCGAAGGCCTGTTTCAGGTCCACCGCCATCAGGGGTGCCATGGAGTCAGAGCAGAACCCCGCACGGTTCTCCGAGCTGCGGTGAACCAGCCGCAGGACCAGAGAGGAGAGGAGCTCCGGGTCAGAGTTCACCTGCCGCACCGCCAGGTAGAGAGCCGGCGCCACGCGAGGCCACGCCCACGCATACTCTGTGTTAGTCAGGGGGAGGATGGCTGCTAGAGTCACCACCTGCAGGGAGGAGGAGTTATCAGCTGACCCAGAGCAGGCTGCTGATTGGAGCAGGAGGAGGGGGAGGAGCCTCATGGGGAGGAGCCTCGAGGGGAGGGGCCTCAGGGACTTCATGACGAGCAACCTTTCAGATGAGCTGAAACACACAACCCTTTCAAAATAAAAGCGGATTTGATGGATGTGTTCTGCTTTACAGTATCTGTGTACTTCATGCAGTACTCTCCACATATATACTAGGTTCTGTGTACTTCATGCAGTACTCTCCACATATATACTAGTATCTGTGTACTTCATGCAGTACTCTCCACAGATATACTAGTATCTGTGTACTTCATGCAGTACTCTCCACAGATATACTAGTATAGTGTACTTCATGCAGTACTCTCCACAGATATACTAGTATCTGTGTACTTCATGCAGTACTCTCCACAGATATACTAGTATCTGTGTACTTCATGCAGTACTCTCCACAGATATACTAGTATCGTGTACTTCATGCAGTACTCTCCAATAGTATCTGTGTACTTCATGCGGTACTCACATACTAGTATAGTGTATTTCATACTCACCACATATACTAGTAGTGTACTTCATGCAGTACTCCCATGCCTACTCACCACAGATACTACCCACGGTACACACTCAGATGTCCCGGTGTGTCTCAGACACGGAGAAACTATAAACCCCGGTGTTTGAGGGACATTTTGTTTCCTCCGTGTATCGACACACACACACACACACACACACACACACACACACACACACACACACACACACACACACACACACACACACACACACACAC